TCTCTTAGCTTCACTAAAAGCTTTTGGAGTCCTCTATTTATAGGATAGATTTGAGGGTAGGCTAGTCATTTAATTTTGAAAAGAATCTTATCGTTGTCCTTTGTTGTGACAAGTGTCCAAATCTTCTACAACACTCCAAATGTATTGTAGGCGTCTTTTGTCTCTTCTGTAAAAACTTCGTCCTTTTTCCTTCATCTTTACTTCAATTTGAAAAGAGACGTGTAGTAGCTTTGTCTTTTTCTTTAACAGCCTCTGTATGAATTCAAATATTGACTCATCTTGATAGTATTCAGGTTGCAAGAAAGTCTTAGGGGGTGTATTCAATCGAGAATTTTAAAGAGTTTCAAAAACTTTTATGGCCCGTTTGGTTCACGGAATAAATTTGGAGGGAATGGAATAGGTAAGGAATAGAATAGGAATTGTATTCTGTCGTTTGGTTCGCTGAAGGAATAGACATTGGGATTGTATTCCAATATTTGGTTGGTTAAGGAATAGGAATGGAATATATGTTTAAAAGACATAAATGCCCTTGTACAAAAAAATTATTATTATTATTGTTATTGTTATTGTTATTGTTATCGTTATCGTTATCGTTATCGTTATTATTATTATTATTATTATTATTATTATTATTATTATTATTATTATTATTATTATTATTATTATTATTATTATTATTATTATTATTATTATTATTATTATTATTATTAGCAAACGAAGTCCCCAGACCATCTGTCTCCGGAGGTGATTCGATGCCTCCAGGCCGGCGAACCACTGGTAAGACGGAAAGACATGCCAAGCTGCTCATGAGTGATACTGACGTAGGGGCTTTTTGCTTCCTTGAGACCAAAACTAAGGACTGTGGTAAGCTCAAAAACATGGCTGGTAATCTAGGTTTTGACTCCAGCTTTATAGTTTACCATTTGGGTTTTGCGGGTGGACTCATCCTCTTTTGGAGATCTAGTATTTTGAATTTCAGGATAATGTACAACACATCACACAAGTGATCTATGGTGCTGTGGGAAATCTTGGTGGACAAGAGATTAGAGTCTCGTTTGCATACGTGACACCGAATCCGTTGGATAAAGAGAGGTTCTGGGAAGATGCAAGTCCTATGCTAATACAATCAATGGCCCATGGACTCTCATGGGGGATCTCAACGACATAGCAAACGAAGCAGAGTAATGGGGCAGCGAGACAGTGAACGCAAATCGCTGCCTGAATTTCATCAATAATTTTAATGAATGTGGGCTCCTGGACATGGGAACAATGGGCACAAGATTTTCGTGGTTTGGGAATATATTTAAAAGACAAGCCAATCTTCAAGCTCGAATCAAGGGTATTCACGATTCTATCTTCTACAACTCAGCTAAGGGACTCCAGGTCTTGGAGAGGAAACTTATTAGTGAACTGAATCAAGTGCTAGAACAGGAAGAGATGTTGTGGTTTCAAAAATCTAGGAGGTAGTGGATTCAAGACGGGGACAAAAATACTGCTTTCTACTATAAATCCACTCTTATCCGACGTAACAGGGCTAGAATAAGAATGCTTAAAATTGACGGTGAGTGGAACTCCAATTTAAAAACCATCAGTGATCATGTGTCTAAATTCATTTATTGACTTATTTGACAACAAGGACCCCGTAGACAGTCTACCGGCTCAAGCCTATGACGGTCGCATGATAAGCCGGGGGCAGGGTATTAGCTTGATGCGAACTATGAATATGGACGAAGTCAAAAAGGCTGTGATGGAGATGAAAATTTTTGGTAGCCCTGGCCCAGATGGCATTTAAGTCGTGCTCTATCAGTCATTCTGGGAGGAAGTCAAGGATCAGATCACGGGTATCGTTAACGATGCTCTAGCTACGGGGTCGTGTCCCAACTAAACTCCTTGAAGCCTACATTTCCCTTATCCCTAAGAACGACAACCCCGAATCAGCCAGCGATTTTATGTCGAGCACGCTCCTTAATGTTAACTTCAAAATCATCTCAAAAGTTATTGTGAACAGATTGAGGCATATTATGTAGAAGCTAATCGGGCCTTTCCAAAATAGTTTCCTGCTAGGAAGGTCAACGATGGACAATATTATTCTCAGGCAAGAAGTCGTTCATTCCATGTGGCACAAAAAAAAGGGCACAAAGGGCAAATGGTAATAAAAATAGATTTGCACAAAGTGTATGATAGCGTCAATTGGGGTTTTCTGGAGAAGACATTAAAAGTCTTTGGGTTCCCCGGGCAACTGATCGAGCTCATCATGTTTACAATAAAGAAAGTTCTATCACTCTCCTTTAGAACGGGGAAAAGCTCAATCCTTTCACTTCGGGTCGTGGTCATAGGCAGGGGGACCCTTTTGCTCCCTATCTCTTCATCCTAGTGATGGAAAAATTATCTTGGCTCATACAGAAGGAAGTCGGGAAGAAAACATGGAGACCCATTACCATATCCGGGAGAGGCACGTGGATCTCTCATCTCTTTTTCGCTGATGACCTTATGCTTTTCGTGGAAGCATCGGAAGAACAATGTCGCGTTATCATGGATGTTTAAAAAAATTTTCCAACACATTGGGGCTAACTATCAGTCTTGCGAAGTCAAGCATATAGTACAGTCCGAACGCAGCTCGTAAAGGACCCCCATTATCCAACAGAGAGTGACAAATAAATCTTTTACCCATATTCTTGAAGGTATGAAAAGGAAGTTAGCCAATTGGAAAGCCGAATCTCTGAGTCTCGCGGGGCGTAGAGTTTGGGTTCAGTCAGTTTTTTCCATCGTTCCGGTCTATTCTATGCAAGCCGCCAAGCTTTTGACAGGTGTCTGTAACGAGGTCGATAGAATCTGTAGAAACTTCCTATGGGGAAACTCAGATCACGAAAACCGAATGCATCTTGTTGGTTGGAACGAGATTTGTAGACCCAAAAACTCGGGTGGTCTGGGGCTCAGAAAGTGCACCGACTTCAATGACGCTTTACTTGCCAAAGTAGCCTGGCAAATGAACTCATGTCAGGATAAGCTCTAGTGCGGATCATGACCGACAAATATCTTAAGAATGATAATTTCTTCGTGGCTGCTAGTCTCGCCAACTCCTCTCAGGGATGGAAAAGCATTTTGAGAGGCCGCTCTATAATTGAAATGGGTGCGGCTTGGCGCATTGGTAATGACGAAACTCTCAACTTTTGGTCGGACTGGTGGGTAGGTGATAAGCCCTTGGGTTTCCTGGAGAACGTGACCATCCAGAACGATACAGCTAATGCAAAGGTTAGCAATTTCATTACAACTAACTGTAACTGGGATTTTGACAGGTTGATTGAGATCCTTCCGCAAGATGTTGTCAACGATATTAGAGCTATCCCCATTCCCATAGATGAACAATCCAAGGACAAGTTGTACTGGCCAGGCTCAACAACAGGTACGTTCCCAGTTCATGTTGCCTACACTTACATTACAGGTGACACTGAAGACTCGGTGGACAATGATTGGCTTTCGAAGACACGGGCGTCCGAGCGGTGCCGGCTTTTTCTTTGGCTAGCGGCAAAAGGAAAACTTCTAACTAACTTTGAACGTGCAAGAAGGGGATTCACGCTAGACAGCACTTGCCCAAAGTGTGGAGAGATGGAGGAGACTACAATGCACATCCTGTCTGGCTGCTCAACCGCGAGAGATTGTTGGAAAAAGACATGCATTCCAACCTCATTCTAGTATGGTCACCAAGCGTAAATTTGGGATTGGATGAAACATAACTGCACAACAAAGGTCGTTATCAACGGGGTACCGTGGTCGAGCTCTAGAAGGCAAGAAACAAATAGATTTTCGAGCATCAGACATGCACCGCGGACAGCATTGTGAAACAGGTTAATACTCTCGTAAGAATGACGATGGAAACGGACAAAACTAAGCTAGCTCGCCAAGGAGGCTTCGCTCGTTGGATTTACTGGAAACTGCAAGAGTCGAGGTGGAATAAAATCAATACAGATGGCTCCTGCAAAAGATACACTAATAATCTCGCAAGTGTAGGGGGGTTGGTGAGGGATCACCATGGGGAGTGGATTTTTGGGTTCACAACCAAAATCGGGAATCGCAGAGCTGTGGGGCCTAAGGGAGGGTCTGACTGGCAAAGTCTACGGGTTTGGTGAGGGTCATTTTCGAACTCGACTTCGAAGCAGTGATTGCGGTCATGAAAGGGGTCGAGGAATCCCAGCAGGCAACGCCGACCATTGTTAAGGATTACAAATTCCTTGCTAAAGTCTTCGGCATGATTATTTTCCAACATACCTTGAGATAAGGCAACAAGTGTGCAGATCACCTGACCAACGTCGGGCATCAAGGAAAATGGGGCACAACCGTGTTGGATGATCCCCGGAAAGCCTGAATCATCTCCTTGCAGCAGATGCTTTCGGGGCTAGCTCCCTCCGAGTCTGGTAGTTTATTTGTTCTTTTCTCGCTGTTTAGTACCTTCCCGTTTCACCACGGGTCAATTCCACTAAAAAAAAATATTCTTAACTTTCATTTGCTTGACACAATTAATTCCAATTTAATTTTCTCATTATGTCTTTTTACCTGATAATAATCTATTATTAAATAATTAATTTTATGAGTTAATACCATCTGAGGTCCTCCGAGTATAGTGGTTTTGCTACGTTTAGTCCTAAACTTTCAAATTGACCATTTGTGGTCCTTCGACTTTCAAATTTAACCATTCGTGGTCCAAATTAACCACCCATGGTCCTTCAAGTTTCAAAATTTAACCAGTCGTGGTCCTCATAAAAGGACCATGATTGGTTAAAATTTAATAGTTGAAGGACCATGGGTGGTTAACTTGGACCACGGATGGTTATCAAATCTTTCTCTACACATACACTGCTAACACGATCCATTAACTGATTTCTGCCAACAAATCCTTTAACAAAACCACCAATTGCCAAACAAGGACAAAGTTTGTCCAATTTCAATATAATACTTATTTTGCTTTGAATTAAAAGTAAACAATTCATTTATTTTTTTAAACCAAAAGTAAACAATTCATTAACAATGCTAATAAGATCAAACAGTTGAAACTAGCTAATTAATTCACTCCTTGATGAAAGCAGCAATACAGTTGATAAGATCTTTGGCTTTCTCAGAATCTGGATTGATGATCTGAAAACAATGGTCCTCTCCTTCAACATCAACAACTTCAATTTCTCCTTTCCACCCACTCTTCTTCACAGCTTCCACATACCGGAGAGTTATCTCTCTCAGCTCGTCTTTCTCCGCGACACAGACATGAAGCTTCGAATACCCCAGCCCGTACAAGCTCGGAGCTTTTTCAGCCATCGGATTTATCATGGGGTTATCAATCCCTCCCTCCGCCGTCGGATAAACGAAATCCCAAAATCTACCCCGCGTGCTTTGCGCACCGCCCTTCGCATTCGACCCCCAGAAGTATGGGAAAGACAGCACCGCTCCCAAGAGTTTTGAGTTTTCATTTAAGGGCTCTTTACCGGCTCTGATGGCGACGTTGTGGGCCATGTTTCCCCCGGAGCTATCGCCGCCGACGAAGATCTTTTCGAAGTCACCGTGGTTAACTAACCACGGTTCTTTGAATGGAACGCGTTGGTCGTCGATGCCGGCGCCGGCGTGGGAAACGACCCACCGAAGAGCTTCCCAGCAATCCTCGTAGCCTGCTGGGAGAGGGTGCTCCGGTGCGAGGCGGTATTCTACCGAGACGGCGATGGCGTTGGCCTTGGAAACTAAGATATTCAGATAGCGGTGGCTGTAGAAGGAGAAGGCGGACTCTAAGCAGAAGCCTCCGCCGTGATAGTAGACTAGGATGGGGAGTTTTTGGGCGGCGGTGGCGAGTTTTGGGAGGTAGACACGGGCGGAGATGTTGGGGGAAATGGTGAGGTCTTTGGAGGAGACGCCAGTGGCGGAGTCTTCCGGCGATGGCGGCGCGTGGGGGGAGGTGAAGAGGCGCTCAACTCGGCCGTCTTTGTAAACTCTTATGAACGGAGAAAAATCGACGGCTATATCATCATTTATGTTGCTATCAGCCATGGCTTTGGTACTCTAGCAATGATCTCTGTGTAGAAGGAATTTAACGGGGAGTGCTGAAAAGTCAAGACAAAAGTTCCAAGGGCAATTTATATGGTGGATCAGGACCACGTAGCATTGTGGACCCTGAATCAAATCAATGTGGTTTTGATATTTAAGTTTTAATAAATTCTGTAATTTGTCCTTTGTCAAGTTTTAACACAAATTTTAATTTATTCTAAATACATAAAGTTCATAATTTCATAGCACGGGACATAAAAACTTACAACACTATATATACACATGTTATATATTAATTATTTTCATCTGATTTATGTAGATAATATATGTAAGAAGCACATAATTTCAAAATAAAAGACATAAATTCGTAAAATAAGACACAGTATATTGTGTGCTACACAACTACTAATCTATTTCAGGTACAGAATTCATATGATTAAGGTACATAATTGCATAACGTGAGACACAGAAATGTATAACACAAGACACATACACAAGTTTTATATTTACTTTAGTTCAGGTATACAATCAATATTCTTAAGATAAAGAATTACATAGGTTTATTGGACATATGAATATTTGTATGAGCTACTTTACAATAAACATGTAATATTCTATTAGTGTTTAATGTTATCTATTTTCAGGATGCTAACAGAATATAAGTGTCATAGAAATGCTTGGTTAGATAACTTTATGATACTCAATGGCGGACCTACAATGGGGGCAGTGGGGGCGGCTGCACTGACCCCTCCCTAATTTAAGCGTTTTATACCATATAAATATAAGATTTACTAAAGGTTTTAGTAGCTTAGTTGGTAGAAACCATAAGTTCTTTTATGGTAGGTCATGGGATCAATTCCCACTAGTAGTGTATTTTTAGTTTTTTTTTTTTACATTTTATTTTAGCCATTCCAATACTATAGTATTTTTAGTTTCTTTTCTTTATTTTAACCCTTCCAATCCTTCAATAAATTAAATATTTTTTAAGTTTACTTTTTTGTGAATCATTTAGTTAATGTAGTCCGCAAGTTTATATTATACTTCATTGTATTCGAATTAATTTAGAAAAATTAAAAGTTGATATAACTAAAAGAAATTAAAATTAAAGTATTTATGAATGTACTATCTTTTCTATTCAAACTATTTTATCTAATCGATATTTTATAGCATTTCAAAGTGTTTTAAAATTTTACCCTACCCAATTATAGTTTTGGCTCCGCCCTTAACTATCTTGTCGTCTATCATAAATACTATTGTATTATAATTTATAATGTATTTGAACCATATTATAGATGTTTGATATTTTTTCATTGACAATTCTAAAGTAGTAGCGAATTCTTCAGACAAAATTGTGGAAGATGCAATTTTTCTTAAAAGTGAGATCTAGAGTTAAGTATGGCCCCACTCACATTATTTTCTGGATCCGCCACTGATGATACTATGTTGGTCCCGAGAGAAGGGAAGTCTAGAAGAGGATTGAACAAACTTTCCTAAAAGGGGAAAGTGGGAGCGGTTGCGTTGAAGATTGACATGAGCAAGGCTTATGACCGGGTAGAGTGGTCCTTCCTAGAAGGGGTTATGCTTCGTATGGGATTCGATGAGAAGTGGGTGGCTATCATGGCTGAGACTATTGGTTCGGTTAATTATCACATCTTACACGAGCAGCAGCAGTTTGGCCCTATCATTCCAGGAAGGGGGCTGTGGCAAGGGGATCCCTTATCTCCCTATCTTTATCTCTTTGTTGCCGAAGGTCTAAGCGTGCTAATTGATCATCAGATGAGGCAAGGTTCATTGCATGGGGTGTGTGTGGCTCAGGGAGCGCCAGCTTTATCTCATCTTCTTTTTGTCGATGATTGTTTTTTGTTTTGTAGGAGTACGGCGGAGGAATGTGTTAAAATGAAATGGGTGCTGGATACGTTTTCCGCAGCATCAGGACAGCAGATTAACTATGATAAATCGTTGCTTTGTTTTAGCTCAAATGTCCAACAACATTCTAGGCTTGAACTTGCTTCTGTCTTAGGGGTGAATGAGGGTGATACTACCGGCAAGTATCTGGGATTGCCGTCTTTAGTAGGCCGCAGGAAGAAGGAAATTCTGGGGTTTTTGAAAGAGAAAGTGTTGAGTAGAGTACGGAGTTGAAATGCAAAATTTTTATCTCGTGCGGGTAAAGAGGTTCTCCTAAAAAATGTCATCCAGTCTATGCCTTCATATGCCATGATGGTCTTTCTTCTCCCGGTTAGTCTTTGTCGCGAGATTGAGACGCTCCTGAACGAGTACTGGTGGATGGGGTGCGTTGGGGGGGGGGGGGGGGGGGGAAGGGCTGCGCTGGAGAAGTTGGGAAGGTTTATGTAAGCCGAAAAGTAAAGGTGGCATGGGGTTCCGGAGGTTACGGGATATGAACCTATCACTACTGGGTAAACAAGCATGGAGGCTGCTTACACAACCGAACTCCCTTATGAGTCGAATTTACAAAGCCCGTTACTTCCCTAATTCGACTTTCTTTGATGCTACGCTGGGAAGTAATCCATCGTTTATTTGGAGGGGGTTGGTGGAAGTCCAGGACATTGTGAAGATGGGTAGCCACTGGTGTATTGGTGATGGTAAATCAACGAGAATAGGCTGTGATCCCTGGATGCCAGATGTTGGTAATCCCCACGTGGTTACGCAACTACACGAATCAGTAAGCATGGCTCCAGTTTCTTCCCTTATGAATGAGCATGGCACAGCCTGGGATGTGGATTGTGTGGAGGATGTTTTTGAAGAGAGAGATGCTAGGCTTATTTTAAGCATTCCGATTAGTTGCAGGAAGCCACCAGATGCGTGGACTTAGGTGGCTGATCACAAGGGCAAATATATGGTAAAAACCTGCTATAGACAGCTGATGGGGGAGGTTATGGAGTCCAGGCCTTGGCAGAAGATTTGGAACATGCAAGTGCCTCCCAAGGTAAGGAACTTTTGTTGGCAGCTGGCCTCTGAGTTATTGCCTACGAGGGATGCTCTTCTAACTAAACATGTTGCTTGTGCGTTATCTTGCCACCTATGCAGTCAGGTCGAGTAGTCTACGTATCACTTGTTCGTAGACTGCTGCGAAGTGAGGGGTGTTTGGTGCTTGGTGGGGATTCCGGATGTGCCGCATGTTTACGGTAATACTGCTGACTGGTTCTTTAAGCTGGTTGGGTGTTTATCTGCTGATTCCTTGTGCAGGCTAGCAATGTTGTGTTGGGGGTTTGGAACAGCCGCAATGATAGTGTATGGAAAGGCCTCCCTTACATAAAGAACCAGATGATGCATTATGCTTTATCTTTTTGGGCTAATTGGAAGGCGGCTAATGATTTAGATGACTCTAACGATAGTGCTGTTTCTAGGCAGGAAGTTTGGACACCCCCTACGCATGGCCGGGTCAAATTAAATACGGATGTGGCTATGGATTCAACCAATAGAGTTATGGGGTTGGGTTGGATAATCAGGGATGAGCTTGGTCAGTTCGTTGCAGCAAAAAGGGACAAATATAACTGGTTACTACTCAATCCAAGAAGCCGAAGCACTTAGTATACGTGATGCCCTAAGTTGGGTGAAGGAGCTTGGGTACGAAAACATTGATGTGGAAACTGATTCACAACTATCTTATTATGCTATAATGTCTGATTCGTTTACTTCCTCTTTCGGTTTAGTTGTAGATGACTTTAAACATATTGCTTCCCAGATTCATGGTGTAATCTTTTGTTTTGCTAGGCGATCTGCGAATCGTGCTGCCCATATTATAGCTAGGGGGGCCGTTTCTTTGTCAGGTTGCGGGGAGTGGTTGATCTATCCTCCCTTGTTTCTTGAGACTGTTATTGCTTCTGAGTTAATACATTAATCTTTGATCTTCAAAAAAAAAAGCAATTTTCTAAACAGTTGGGTCAAGAGCTAGCTACCAGCGGATTTCGCTAGTAACTCGCATCGTAAGTCTAAAAGATTGTTTTAGCGGGTTTTGGTAATACTAAAACAATTGGTTGAGCAAGTCAGCTGAAATCGTGTACTTAGTGTGTGCAATCGATTCAGTCAGCATGGTTAGTGCAGTTATGAAAAAAATACTGAAAAGTAGAGAGAGACATGAGATTTTTAAGTGGCTTGAAAACTCCGCCTACATCCACTCTTCTCCAACTTCGAGGAGGTTCCACTAATATTCAGTGTAAATACAGTGGAAAAGTCACACAGTGTATTCACAAGCACTGTTGACCACAACCATTGACGTTCACTCAATTCGGATGTTCCCTCCTGACGATCTTCAACGTCTAGCTCGCAACACCAAGGATCTACCACAAAGTCCCCTTGTGCACTAAGCTTCCAACACAAGCGGATTTGAGTTTTTGTTTCTTTTCACAATCAGGTGGACGTGAATATAAAATTCACAAGAGCTTGTGTTGCTTCTTAATGAAAATGAAAACTTTAAACTCCTTCTAACATTGGATTTTAATGATAGCTTCTATATTTCTCAAATAATTCACAACAATGGGCAATTCTTTTCTTATTCAACACTTAGACTAGGTGATTCGTAGGCAGCTTCCAAAAGCTCTAGGGATCTTCTAGTTATAGGATAGAGGTGGGGTAGACTTGTCATTTGATTCTAAAAAGAATATGGTCGTTTCCTCATGTTGTGACAGGTGCCCAAGTTTCCCACTGTATTACATGCATCCTTTTGTCTCTGGATAGATTCCATGTGTTACCTTCTAGAAGACTGTTCAAAAGCTGAATTATGACTGTAAGAAAGACTCCTGTTATGCTGACTTTCTTCTTCAAGATCTGTTGTTTTACTTGTTGAAATAGCTCGGGCAACAATTGGTTCTAACTAGCTTACACTTGATCAGCTGAATAGACTCAGTTGAAAACTAAAAACTTTGGCCTTGACTAAAGACATAAAAATGGGGTGTCTAAAGTCCTAACAGAATGAGTACATCAAAATCTAATAGAATGATACAATGATTCTTAACATATTAGGGAAATATGAATTCCTTCATTTAGTAAATATTATCTTTCTGATGGTATTTTATCTTCTCAAAGAAGTGAGACTACAAACCATTCTATTTCTAGAAGGTTATAAAAAATAGCTGGATTGTGTTATTTTTATAATTCATTTGTTAATGTGGTTCCAAGGTATGCTTGTAATGACCATGGATCATGCGAAGCTCCTTTCATATGCTAGAGATGTATATACCATTGAAATATATTATCTATTTGAGCAACGATATAATTCTTGAAAGGTGTTGCATGCCATCAAGAAGTTGTGGTGGATAGTGGTGATGAATTTAAATATCATGTTTGGCGTTCAGATATTGATCTTATTCGTCACGATATTTTGAAGTTAAGAATTTTGACATATGTTGTAGTTGCAAGTTGTTTTCAGAGATGAGTATTTTATGCTCGCATTCTTTACATGTTTTAAATATTCATTGTGTTACAACATTTCCTGTTAAGGACTGATAAACATTATTTTGGTTGTTATTTTTAATAATCTTTTTATAGTTAATATACAATAATTGATTAATTTTATATCTATTTTTATTTATTATTGTTTTTAATAGCTTTGTTAATATTTTCTATTTTTAGGTTGTTTTTATTATTATATTTGTTTATTATTTGATTTCTGTTGATCCAATAATTCTTGATCCTAATTTCATAATAATAATAGTTGTTGTAGTATATGGTCAGCATGGGTTTTAATAAATGTAGATTAGTTATATATGGTTTCTAATAAGTTTATTATTATTATTATTATTATTATTATTATTATTATTATTATTATTATTATTATTATTATTATTATTATATCAATAAGGAATGATCGCAGACTTCTTCTCCATAGTCAATAGCTACGATTCGATTGAACAGCGCAAGTTACAAACGGGAGAAAAGATCGATGGCACTTTGTGGTTTAAGATATTTGTGCGGCTATTCTCTATCGAAATTACGGAAGTGCGGTTAGGCTGAACAGTATAAAGGAGTGCAAAATCGAGAGATCATCATCAATTTTTCACCCCGGAGATTTCCGGTGGACGGTGGAATAGTTCCGACCAGTCCCACTGTTAGAGTTTAGTAGCAGATTTCTATGCGATTTAATTCCGGCAGTGGTTCGCGGTAGTCTCCGTTCCATCAATTTCCTTCGACGTAGCAGAAGTTCCGACGATTCAAGCTTCCCGCTAAGCAGCAGCGATGGTCGGCGGCTTCAGAGTCCTTCTAATTGGCATAAGAATTATTCCTTTCTTCTCTTAATTTACTTTTTCTATTTTTTTAATTTGTTTTGCTATACTCAATTTGCCTTTTGTTATAATTCCAAGAATCTAGCTTTTCAATATCAATATTTAATTTGCTCTATACACCGTACACGAATTCTCCTTTGGCTGTTGCAACTTTTCTATTGCAATCTTTGATCTCTTTTATTTCTTTATTGCTAATCTAATTTGTATAATCTTTGGATAATCTTTGGAAGTTGATTAGGAGTTATTTCTGCAATTTCAATTCAAATTGAAATAGTGTGCTTCTTAGTTTTTTTATTATTTATTTACTTTAAGTTCTTTGCGTACTTTTGATTTAATTTAATTATTCTGCAATTCATATTTCTTGTTAAACTCTTTTATAGTTTATTTCCTCCATTCATTTTCAAGTTTATTAAATTGCATTGTACAATTCCCTGTGGGATCGACCCTTGCTATTGCACACTTAAACTACAATTGACTCATGCACTTGCGAGGACAATTAAAAATTGTCTAACAAGGACATTGTGAAAAGATGAACAAAAATGTTCTTGAAGATAGAATTATGGATATTGCATCTTTTTCAAATGTCTTGAGTGTGCTTCTTCAATTTTGTGTTATACAAATATAATGGGTCAAAAATTTTAGAAGTTGGTTTTATCTAGTGAAGATAATTGTAAAGCTTGACAAGTATGTGAAGAAGCTTTTGAAGATATAGCCAAAAGAAGGATTCAAGGTGAAGTTAGTCATATTTTCTTTGAAGAGGTTGAAGAAGGATTGAATCGTGTTAATGCTTGGTACGTAACATTCATTAGCATGTATTTTGAGATCAGAGTTCCTTTCCGCAATGAGAGTTGGGTGAATAACTAAAGCTGCTCTTTGCACAACCCAATCTCTCTCTACTAACATAGGAGAAGATTGGGGTGTGGGGGTTAATGCTTTGTGAGCTTGAAGAACTTGGGATTGATGCATCACGAGAATGGTGTAATCTCTTGTTCTTTATCCTTGTTTGATTGATTATGAAAATGGCTTTTAGGCTCAGATTCATTCGTGCATTCTCTCTTGATCCCTTGGTTATTTGTTATCGTTAATACCATAGGTTATTGAAGCATCTATAAGGTGATGTTCCCTAACTTGAACCCTATCTTTTCTTATTGTGTTTATTCGTATTTTGAATTTGTTGATTTGTGTCGATTCCCCCAACTATGATCATGAATGTGCTTGGATTCTTATAGGTTCAAGGTTTTTTTATTTATTTTTATTTATTTTTATTTTTTTAATGTCTAGAAGTTTGTTAATTATACAAGTACATGCCATAGTTCTAATGTCCTACTGAACGATAACTTTTCATTCTTAATTCTTCACCATAATTCTAGCAAAGATGATGTCTATAACCCGATCTAATGTCATAGACAAGGATTCATGAGACGATATTATACAAATTTTTGCCAAATTAAAAATGTGTTTGTTGGATTTTTTTTTTTCTTGTGTATTTCCCTCCTTCAAAAACAAATAATAAAATTGACATTCGTTATTATTGTATAACAACACCAATTAATATGGACTATAATAAAAGTTAATATTATTTTTAGCCGTC